GCCCGCCCGCGCCCGGCGGGAGCAGGTGCCCAGTGGGGCACAGCCGGGCCCGGCGGCCCGCAACGCCCCCGCGCCTTCCTCCTCCTCCTCTCCCTCCTCCTCGGCGGCGGCGGCGGGGCCGAGCCGCTTCCCGCGGAGCCGCCCGGGGCGGCGGCGGGGCCGGCTGTACTGCCGGGTGGGCATCGGCTTCCACCTCCAGCTGCACCCCGACGGACGCGTGGACGGCGCCCACGACGCCAGCCCGCTCAGTGAGTGCCCGGGGGGGAATCTGGGGGGCCGGGGGGCGTCTGGCTCTGCCCCAGAGCGGGGGGCTGCGGGCACTCCCTCCCGGGGCTGCGGGATCCCTACCCCGGGGGGTGTCTCCTCTGGGGTGATGAAGCCCCTTGCTCCCCGCTGCCTTCAGCTGGGGTGAGCTGCAGCCCAGGTGGGCTTGGGAAGGGTGAATTTGGGGTGCTGCCTGCCCTGGGAGGCTGGAGCTGGGGTTGCTGGGAGTGCTGCTCCCCGTGGGCTGGGTGGGATGCTGTCCCGGGGAGCAGAGGGAGCTCTGCCCCGCTCGCTTTGGGAAGTGCCACCCCACGGGGTTTGCCCGCTTGGAGGGAGCGAGTCCAGGAGGATCGATGTGAGGGCACGAGGTTTGTGCTCCCCCCCTGCGCCTCGCCAGGGTACCCGAGGGGGAGGATGCTGCACTGGGCTCTCCCTTGCGCCCCTTGTCTGTCCTTTCCCCATGTAACTTTTCCATCCTTCCCTCTGCATTCTCATTCTTCCAGCACAGCGATAGGATATATTCAGTTTAAAAATAGGACTGAGGCTGACGTTCCCCTGGGAGAAAGCTGTGCTAACTCATGGCTTATCCTTCGGGTCGGAGTTGCTGTGATATCCTGTTAGAGGGAATGAAATGGCAGCCGGGGATGAAAAATCACTTAAAGAGCCTGAGGGCTTGGGCCTGAGGTGACCCTGGCAGCACACATGGCTTGAGCTGTTGGCTGTGCTCACGGAAGAATGGCCACATCTGGCCTGGACTGAATAATTCGGGCTCTGGTCTGTGCTGTGGCCCTGTGAAGGAGCAGCCTGTGGGGAGGGGTGCTGGGGGCCAGAAACCCTGCTTGGGGTTTTGAGGAGCACTGCAGGTGTCCGGCCAGGGTGCAAGGGGGTGGAGGGGAGAATGGGGCATCCACTCCGGGGCTGTGTCGGGAGATGTGAGTTTGGAGGGGCTGCCTGCACCGTGCCCCCCAGATCCTGTGCCCCAGGCAGAGAAGGTCTCCCCCGTGAGACACGTGCAGCTGTTGATGCTACAGCTGTCTCGCAGGGTTGTGGATTACGTGAAGTTCCTTCCTCTTTCATCTGAGATTTTCTCCCCAGAAAGGTGACAGCAGCACCACCTCCCTACTTTGGAGCGGAGCCAGCCCTGGCTGGGGGCATGTGGTGGTGGCAGGGAGGATGCTGTGCTGGGGTGCTGCCCCAAGGAGCCGTCCCCCGTGGGGGAGAAGTCACCTTTTGGCAGGGAAACCCCAGCTTTGACCCCTGGGAAACTGGGCTTTACCTAGGGCACCACAATAACTGGGGGTATGTCTCCCGGCCAGCAGGTTTTGGGGTGCCCTGGAGGACAGGGAGTGTGCTGGAGGGGGTATGTGCCTTGTTGCAGTGGGGCTGCACAGCCCCATGCCTCTTGGCAGCCTGGGGCACGTGGGGTGAGGAGGGGTGGCCCTCCAGCCCCCCTCAAAGCGCCCCCCGGGCCCTTGGTGCCAGGACCTGGGTGCCTCCAAGGGCTGCGCTTCCTCCTTAAAATAAACATGGGAAGTGGAGATCCGATCCCCCGGCCTCGGGGATTTAACAGAGGCTTCATGTTTGCTCTTGGCACGTTAATCCACGCGGCCCTTCGCTGGGGCCGGCTGAGATGCTCTCACAGGCTCCCTCCTCCAGAGCCGGGGTCACTGAGACCCCCCTGGGGCCACCCCAGGGCTGCAGCCAGGGACAGCAACGCTCTTCTTCCAGGGTGGGAAGGGCACGCTGGGGATGTGGTGCTTACCCCGGCCAGCGGGGGTGTCAGGGGGACTCCTGACCCCTGCTGCCTCCCTAGCTCCCCCCGGCCAGCGGGGGTGACAGGGGGACTCCTGACCCCTGCTGCCTCCCTTCCTCTGCCTGGAGGGACACTGCGCTCTGTGGGGAAGGAAAGCGTGTTGGTGCTGTTGCTGAATGATGCTTGGAAGTTGAGGCTCTTTTATAAGATAAGTTATAGGTCATGCATGCCCCACAGGGGGGCCAGAGCCCACTCCTGCTCAGAAAATACCCATTTGAGGGGAAACCGGCCTGTTTTCTCATATCTGGGCTGCGTAGTGCCCCGGTCCGTGAGTCCTGCTGCTAGGAGTGGCCTAAGAAACCATTACTGGTACTTCTTGCCCCAAATGGCATGTGTGACACCTTTATTTCCAGAGTCTGGTGTGTTTGGGAGGACGGGCAAGGCTGGTCTCAGCAGGCTGGCTGTAGGCACAAGAGCCTTTTCCCACCCTTGAGAGGGATTCCCCAGGGGTAAGATTGCTTTGTCACAGCCAAGTCAGAAATTGTCCTCTAAAACGCAGCTTTTGGAAAAAAACCAACCCCACCACCCTGTTGCCATCCCGGAGTTGATGTGGGTCCCTCTGTGGGGAGGAGGGATGGAGCAGGAATGCTGTCAGGAGCCGGGCAGCCGAGGAGCAGGGTTGTGTGGAGAAGAAATGTGAAGCTATGAGACTGATTTTTTTTTTTTTTTTAATCATTATTTTTTTTTTCTTTGTCACACTGATGTGAAAAGAACTGTGATTTATTTTGGGATTTCTGTCATCCTAGGTATTTTGGAAATATTTGCTGTGTCTCAGGGGATTGTAGGAATACGAGGAGTTTTCAGCAACAAATTTTTAGCGATGTCAAAAAAAGGAAAACTCCATGCAAGTGTAAGTAACCCCCCTGCTTATCAGTATGTATTGTTTATTAAAGGCCTTGCGACACCTCCATGTGCTCCCGGGCAGGGCCCTGCTGTGCCGAGCCCCTTGGGCTCCACGCTGGGTGGCATCCTCACTGCACAGACAGAGAGGGGACAGGGGGAGCCAAACCCCCGGCGCCCATAGCCCTCCTTGCTGCATTTAACCAAGAAAAGTGCTTTTTCTTTTTCCTTTTTTTCTTTTTTTTTCTTTTTCCTTTTTTTTTTTTTTTTTGCAGTTGGGTATTTGCATCAAAAGGACTTGTTCTTTGAGCATTGGTGGTTTATTTTTAGCAATTTCTGCAGCAGATCGCGCAGATGGTTTTAGCCAAATGTCTGCCGGGGAGCGGCACGCGTGGCTCCGGGAGCCCGCCCGCGGGTGCGGGGAAGGGGCTGCGGCCCCCGGTTTTGGCTCGGTTTGCCCGTGTGGGAGAGATGTGCCCCCCGTGGGTGCGTGTGGCTGCACGCAGGGTGCTGGGCAGGGGAGGTCCAGCCCCTGCCGGGACCGTGGCAGCTGGAGGGGAAAAATCCTGGTAACTTGTTTCTGCAGGCTGTTTTCCTGAAGGTTGGGGTTTCCTGCAGGTCTAATTGTGCTTTTTCCAGGGTTTTTGCGTTGAATGAATCCTCTACGTTGATTTAACTTCCTTTTTTAACTTCAAGATGCTGATTCCTAATTTTTTTCCTGTTAGTTCTAGAGATCTTTTAAACAAATGAAAGTAACTACTGTGCGTACCTGAAAGTTATCGTGTTTTAAAGGTGTGTATAAATGCAACGCCCAAAGACGGGCATTTTTAAAGCAGCATCTTGGATGACCTGTCACCCAAAGTGGTTCCCAGGGGTAGTGTTCAGGGCTGACAGCCTGGGAGAGGGAAAAGCCCGTTGCCCGTCCTGCAGTGCGAGACAAACCTTGGGCTCATGGAGTGGATGTTGCTGATGTGCTTACGCTGCCTGAGCCTGCAGATTGCCCCCCAGTGAAATTTATGAACTCGCCTCTCTCTCCCTTGAGTCTTATTGGAGCGTTGCTCCTGAAACCTAATGATGCTTAAAGGGTGAGCGCTTGGTTGCTTATTTTAGGAAACAAAGTAGGAGTGGGAACGGCATCTAGGGGAAAGGGGGAATGGCTGCGTAGAGGAAAACGTGAGGGATGGAGATGGGGCAGGAAATGGGCAGAACAGGAGGAGAGCGGTGGGAAGGTAAAGGAAGAGGGAGAGGGAAGCAGGCGGAGCGTGATCCCCAGACCCTCCAGGGCCTCCCCTCCCTCACGGCGTACAATGGGCCTCTTATTTGAGCTGAAGCCTTGATTTATGCCCTGGCGCAGTCAGAAATTAAATCAAACCTCGTTGGTCTATGGTTAATTGTCGGCACACAAAGGGCAGTGCTGGAGAGGGACCTCAATTAGGCGGGTCAGAGCAGGGGGTGAGGACACACGATGCCCCACTCGGATGAAAGCTGCGAATTTGTAGAAACTTGACCCAAATGTCTAAAGATTGCTGGACTAAATAAGGCCGATAATGCAAACCCAGCATCTGTTGTTCTTTCCTGCCTTGGCAGGATAAAGTTATTTCATGGCCTAATGAGTTTTGAGCAGTACAAAGCGCGTCCTGCGCCCGTCACTCAGGGCAGCGCTTTGATATGGGAGTCACGCCGGTGACTTTGTGCTGAACCGCAGATAAAAGTCATTCCTGCAGGGATTCAGGCTCCTTCGAAACTGGCTTTCGGGGCCCAGCTATATCCCTGCTCGATGCTTTACAGCAGCCCTCCTTTTTCTTTTTTTTTTTTTTTTTTTTTTTTTTTTTGATGGCAACTTAATTAAATTACCAAGCAGTTCATTTTTAGAGGCACCAGCTTCAGAAAATGACAGTAATCCCGGCAATTATCAGTTGCGTGCACAGATGGCTTTTTCCTTGTTGTTAAATCCTCGGTCCCCTGTTCGTACATTTTTAGCATGGAACGGGCAGGAGGGGGTTTGGTGTCAGTCTCGGCAGGGGCCAGCATGAACCCCCAAGAAGAGGTTTGCCCGCGGGGGTCTCAGGTAATTCTCCTTTCTCAGGAGTTGTTCCGAGTTGACAGAACGCCACAGTCCTCACCGAAGCAAATCTCTGTTGAACTGGATTTTGAAATTTGACTTTGGGATTTCTCTCTGCAATGGTCTCTGGAGCTGCTGCAGAGCCAACCCGACGGGCAGCCAGAGCCGTGGCCTGCCCCGTGCTGGGAAAAGTGCCTTTTCCCGGGCTGAGACGGTGCGGTTGCTGCGCTGAGGGGCTGGGACATGGGGAAGCCCGTCAGAGGGATGGAAAAGCAGCAGCTGATGTGGTTCCAGGGCGATTTGCTGTCTAGGGGCATGGGCTTGCCCCTGCAGGTCCCTTCCTTCTGTGCTGCGAGCAGCCCAGCACATCCCTGTGTCCAGGGCTGGGACCGCCCCCCCTCAGGACCCCAAATCCCACTCTGGAGGGGACTCTACTACAAGTCTTAGGGAGCATTTCCCCTGAACGACTTTAAACAGGAACTTTTCTTGTGATGCTTCAGGTGGGGAGGGTGGCATTACTCCAAAATGCTGGGCCAGGCTGGAAATGCTGGTTTGGTTTACCCACGAGCAAAGCAGCCGCGAGCTCACCCGTCTGTGCAGGGGTATGTATGCACAGGGGCACAAGCATCTTCTCCTGGTCACATCAGCCCTTGCAAGGCCTGCTGGAGCTGGATTCAGTATCAGACCCCCACTGTGGCCAGCTTCGGTGCCTGGGGCAGGGCAGCCAACTTCATCTCCTGCACCAAAAAAACCTGCTCTTGCCATTTGCCCAGATCCCACTTGAAAGGCCCTGTTTTGGGGCCGTTTGGGCTGAGCACCCTTTCAGGCGTGCATTGCTGCCTCAGTCAGTCCTAAATCCCCCATGAAATGGCTGATGCCGGGGTGTCTCTCCTGAGCACCGCTGCAGGTGTTGGGGCTTCAGAAAGCAGTGAGGGGTCAGTAAAGCCTTGCTTCGGGAGGGTGAACACTCGTGCATGGGCGATACAGCATCGAGGATGCGTAAGAGACAGGGAAAGCAAGAATGAGTCATTGAGGTGATGTTCCTTTCAGGTGAAGAGCAAAAGGAGACTTAATTCAAAGTGCTATGAGGGAAAAGACGCTTGGCAGGCTGAGGACTCGGTCACTTGTACTGTAGGACTCAACTTCTCTGGTTAAATTAGGAATTGACAAAGGATCCCAGCCAGCTGGGCCTTCTGCGTGGTTATAAAGTGCTGCTTGGGGGTTTTGTCTTGTTTTCCATTGCTGGGGGTTTCGAGGCTGGAGAGCTCAGCATCCCTTTCATGTCAATCGTTTCGAAGCGTGTCTTTGCAATGGGGCTGCAGTGCCCTTGCGTGGCTGGAGGAGCTGTTGGGCATCAGGTACCATGTCCATGGTCAGATTAAACCACAGGAGAGGATTTCAGAGGGGTCACCGGAGGCTGCACCTGGGTGTCCCAGGGCTGTGGGTACATAGCTGGGGTGTTATGGTTCTATTTTTGTATTTCTGCATGCTTTTTTCCCCTCCTCCTCCCCCTTGACGACACGAAGGAGCTGTTATGGGCAGCATTCAGCCTGTCCTCTTGGGCAATGGGAAGCCTTTCCCCCCAGCTGTCCAGGAGCCAGCGTGGCCACCTTGTTCATAAGAGGTGATGCTCTTGGGCTGCAAGTAATTTCAGGTTATCGAGGGACAAAATGCCCCGAGTTCATTTGAGACAAAGAAGAGGAGGAAAAAAACCCCACCAATACAATCGAAGCCATGTTCAGTGAAGCAATGAAAATCTGCATGCAAATTGCCTTTCCAGATTATTAAGTGATGATTCAGTGCCTGAGCGAGAGGTGCGAGGGTGGGCAGGGAGATGGAGCGGGGGCTCGGCCCCAAGGTCCTTGGAGGGGCTGCGGCCTGGGGGTGCGGAGCCGCTTCTCCCTCTGCTCGGTGGGAATGGCAGGAGGAGACGTGGGGCGGGAGGGGAGGATGCTGCTGGGGCAGACAGAGCCTCTTTTTTTCCAAATCTGCGTGGCAAGTGGCTATTGGAAGTAGCCACCGTGTTGGGGGTTTTCCAAATTGCTGGGTGCCCGGTGGCCTCGGAGTGGGTTTCCCAAGGCCCTGTGCTGCTGCTCGCCCCTTTGTACCGTTTTTTTGGGAGACATTAAAACCCAGCGAGCGTCGCTGGGCAGGGGACAGGTAAAACCAGGCCTTTGTTAACGGTGTCCCCCGTCTCTGTCCCCGCAGGCCCGGTTCACAGCGGACTGCCACTTTCGGGAGCGGTTCCAGGAGAACAGCTACAACACCTACGCCTCGGCCGTGCACCGCAGCCCCCGCTCGGGACGGCAGTGGTACGTGGCACTCAACAAGCGGGGCAAAGCCAAGCGGGGCTGCAGCCCCCGCGCCCGGCCCCAGCACGTCTCCACGCACTTCCTACCCCGCTTTCGGCAGCCACAGCCCCCCGAGCTCGCCTTCACAGTCACCCTCCCCGAAAAGAAGCCCCCGCCGCCACCGAAACCAAAGGTCCCCCCATCCCCGCCTCGGAAAAACCCTGGCCCTGTCAGGTACCAGCTGAAGTTTCGCTTCGGGTAGCGCACCACGGCGGGGATGCCGGTGCCTGGGCAGCTTTTGGGGTGACCCCGTGGGGGACCCCGGACCAATGTGGGGAGGCTCCGGGTCTTCTCTTCACCCCGCAAACTGGATGGCATCCTCGGAGGTGTGTGCTGGGACGACATAACTTGGGCTTTCCAAAGATTATTCCTGTGGTGAGCTGAAAACACTTGATGGACCTGGGGTCAATTTTCTGTTGGTGAAAGAAGCAGAAAGGTGCCTCTACGGCGAACATATTTTCTTACCTTATTTTCACTAGTGACTCTTCTGACAATCATTTTCATACAGGAGATATGTTCAGAGCCAACCAATTAAGTGCTTTTTTTCTTTTTTTTTTTTTTTCCCATCTCCTTTTTGCTGCACTTTTTTCCTCTGTCCATACCTCAGACACCATATATCCAGGACTGCCCCTTCCCCTTGTTTTACAAACCAGCGCTTCCCTTCTGTAACAAGTCCAAGACCAACAATTTCATCCACCTTATCTGTGGTGCAAGGGGGTCTTAAAAGTCTTTGTTGGCAATAATAGATATATATATATTTTATTTTTTTTTAAGGGTTGCAGGCTTGAGGAGGGCGGCCGTTCGCAGCCCTGCTCCTGGTGCTCTCTCCTGTTCTTCCCAGGACAGCTGGAGGAGCGAGTCTCCTCCTGTCCATCAAAGTATGGCTTCGATGTCTGTGTTTAAAATACCTCTGCCCTGGCCCCGTGGCATTCCTGCTCGCACGGGGAGGAACCCGTGCTCAGACCCGTCCCCGGGGGTGGCTGGGGGAGCCCCTCCACACCCCTGCTCCCCAGGATGGGGATGCACTTGGCCCCTGGGTGCCCACTGGTTTCTTCCAACAATTTGCACTGCTGATTTATTTTATCATTCACAATACACTTACAGAGGTGGGGGAAAGGGTTTTATTTTATAGTGACTGTGGTGATGTGGCAATAAATGCTGTTACAGCTACTCGTACCTTTGGAAGTGTTTTTTCCCACCTGGGTTGCCTTACGGCCCCGACTGTCAAATTGTTTCCCCCTTATCGTGTTCTCTGTGGAGTAACTGTGTGTATGGAGTTTTTAATTGGCCTTTAGCTGTGTTGTGTACATACAGAAAACAGTAGCATTGAACCTCACCGGTTAAGCCTTAATAGGAGCCCAGGTGGGCTCGCGTTAGCAAAACCCCCCTCGCCCTGAGCCCTGCTTAGTGTCCAGCAGCAATAACCAGGGCAGGTGGCACTGCTGAGTCTTTTCTCCTGATCTGGTCATGGTACAAATGGTTGTTTCCATTGAAATTGTGGTTCTTTTCCATTTGCCCTTCTGGGCAGCCTCTGGCTGGATGCACCCGCTCCAGCAGCAAATGCTTTGGCACAAGGGCGTGCGCTCCACGTGTGGGGATGGATGGGGATGAAGGAATAAAGTATAATAGTGCTTCATTTTATAACCTGGTTGTGTAATCTCTTGCCCATCTCCTACCCATGTGTTTTTTTCTTTTCCTTTTCTTCCCCCAAAGGAGAAAAATGAGTGTTGCTAAATTAGCCGCCCTGCATGTTTTTATCAGAGGGTTTGGCTGGCACGGTACTGGTGGCAGGGTGGAGTGGGGCAAAATCGGTGCATGTGCATGCTTTGTATGCTGTGCTCCACATCTTGTGTGCTGAGACAAACCTCCCGACAGCTCCTCTGGGGCTGCTTTTGGTCCCGCGTCACAGCAAGGGATGGCAACCCAAGCACGGGCACGCTGTGCTCCGTGGACATTTCCAGCGAGACAGCCCAAATTTACAAAAGTCAAGTAATGCTGCTTATCTGCCGTTCAGCAGCCAGGCACAATTAGGTATAATTAATGCTCAGTGAAGCATAGAGCCACCTAAATGAACTAATTGAATGAAAACATGTGCAGGAGCCACATAGGAGGGTGCCGTCCTCAGCCCGGGGTGGGTGCGTGGAACTCCCTGGGCAGGTAAGAGAAGAGTGAATGTGCTGGTCCCTGCTTTCCCTCAGAGGAAAAAGCTGGTTTTTTAATCTTGTTTTAAGGAAACTGCTTGTCGGTAACTAGCCTGTATGACAAAACAATGCTTTGATCCTTGTGTTTCTGGGCAAAAACTGGTCCTGAACTGACCTGCGATGGCAGCATCCCGTGTTTGCCATAGCAACTGCTGGGACGTGCTGCCGCTGGCTCTGCTGGGGCTGCCAGGAGGGATGGGAGATATTGTCCTTGGGGCTCACCCCGGGAAGGGGGGGTGCTGCTGGCGGTGGGATCCCCCCGACTTGCAGGGGATGAGCACTCCTGCTTGTGGCTCTGGCTGAACCTTGTTTATCCCGATGCCCCTCGCTGTTTGTGCTGAGGAGCATTTATTGCATTTCAGAGCTGTCGGGTGAAATTTGGCTGAGGCAACAGCGCGGGCGCCTCCTGCCTCTGGGGTCTGCTGAAACCCGCCCTCTCTTTCCTCTCACACCATTTCTGCACTTCGAGGGGGGCTGCCAAACATTGAGGTTTCATGTGGGGTTTCTGGCAGCCAGGAGCCCCACAGCACACGGGAAGCAGAGGCTGGGGCTATAATACGCCGCGCCATGGCAGTGCAGAGGGCTGTGCCACAGCAGACAGCAGCGCGCTGGCAACCTCAGTAGAGAGCCCAACACAGGTTAATGTAAGTGGTATGGATTGACAAACTCCTCCTGTTCCTCTCTGGCCACTCTTCTGCAAGGAAATTAAACAGGTTTGCTTATCAGGAGGAGAACAAAGGCATTTTAAAAAAATGGGTAAATATCTCTGTTAAATTTAAAAATAGCCTGTGGACAACTTGAAAGACTTTTAAGGAATGAAGGTAACTTTTTCCATGTGTGTTATGTTTCTTGCATTTCAAAAGTAGTTTTGGCTTACTTTTATTTACAGCTGTTGATTGCATTTAAACCTTTCTGGCTACTGCTCTTGACAGTGAAGCAGAGGCAATGTTGTGCTGGTTGGCTGCTCCCTGGGCAGGATGAGTAGCCCAAATCCTGCAGCAGAAGCCCAGAGCATCCTGTGGTCCGGCTCCCAAGGCGAGGAGAAACATCCTGCCCTTCCACAGGTGGGGATTTACTGCAAGAAGGGATGCAAAACCATAAAGCTTCTCTTCTTCTTTCCTGCTTGTTGGCAGCACTCAGTCTTCCATGCTGGTGGGAGTATTGCTCCTGTGGAACCAACAGGAGCAAGAATACGCTCGGGAAAATTGCTGTGACAGTCTGGGAAAAGAAGAAAGGCTCTGGCTCCAGCTTCACAACTCCGATGCTGACATAAACTATCCTGTCAGCCGCTCCGGTTTCATCCCAGTGGATTTATCGTTTTGGCTTCAACAGCACTAATTGCTGGACTCTTAAGCAGATTTTTGTACTTATTTTACATAAAAGCCCTTTATATTGCCTTTAAATCTTGTTGCACACAGATAAAAGGCCACCTGGGAAAATCAAGGGTAGGGGGTGGGAGAGCTTTCCTACCCCTCTTTTTGGGGTGCTGAGGGCAGGGGGCATGCTGGAGAAGGGGTTCTGTGTTTGGGGACCAACGGGGGGTCTGGCTGCTGAAAGCAAGCAGAGAGGAGGGCTGTGCATCATCCGGCTGGGTGGCCTTCGGTGAGGAACCAGCAGCCCCTCGGGCAATTTTAATCAGGGAGCAGGCTGGGAGCAGGGCTGGTAGGGACACGGCAGGGGGTGGCATCCAGGGAGCCAGGAAGGTAACAGGGATGTATGAAGTTAATTGTCCTAGGACACCAGCACGATGCCTCTGAGCTCTTGATCGGCAAGGCTAAAAATGGCGTGATTGCACAATGTGGACCAATAACTAAAATTTGCCCCTTTTTTCCTCTCCCATTTGCTTTCTGAGTCATCTTTTCCTGCAGGCTTTGTGGATATAGAAAGTCTCAGATGTTGATTAGGCAAAGTACTGCACGGGGAGAGAGATGGTGCTTCTGGAAGCTCCGCTCAAAGCACGACATTGGCAAGTGCTGGAACAAACATGAAGTCTCCTGGGAGCACCTGGCTTCCTTTTTGCCCTGCAAAGCCGGTGTTTTACCCCAGCCAGCTTGCTTCACCATGAGCTGGATGGGGCAGGCCAGGCTGGTGGCCACCACGAGCTGCACTGTTGGCGTGTCCTCCCACATGGGAGTATCTCCAAACTGAACTTACCACCCGGTGGGGAAAACATTGGCTGAAGTACTTTGAGAAGTTGGGGGTTGGCATGGCATGTTATTTTTTTGGTTTGTGGGTTTTTCTTCTTTCTCCTCTACCATCTCCAACTTAACACTGTGGTGCTGGGGAGACAAAGCTGGAAAACAAAGGAACGATGGGGATTCCCAAATTCCTTTCCAACCAACTGCCGCCTTCAAAGGAGGCACGAATGCACCTGGAGCAGGGAAAGGGGCTGCGGGGAGCACGGGGGGAGCGCGCCGAGCGCCGGCCATGCCCCGGCTCCGTGGTGTTGGGTGCCTTTGTTAAAATTCTGACACGAAAAAGGGCTGCCCCATTCCCCCTGTCCGGGCACATCTCGCTTTTAGCCCCTGTGGAGGTTCATCACTTCCCAAACCCCCAGGAGCACTCGCCGGGCTCCAGCGCTGCCGGCCGGGGGGATGCTGCGGCTCCGGCCCCCCCAGCCTGCGCCCCGCCGGCCCCCGCTCCCCACGGGGGGAGCGTCCGGGGGGGGAAGGGGCAAACCCACCCGCGCTGTGTCAGTGCGGGAAGATGAGGCGAAATACCTCACGGAGCTGAGCGCGGGGGGCGCCGGGGGTTAGGGAGGTGCATGGGGGCTGCTGTCCCCGCTCGGATTTGCCGGTGCAGGCACGGACGGCCCCCCCCGGGGGGCTGGGGACTGTCACCGCGCCCTCACGCCCGCTCTGCCCCCTCAAAAATAACCCTCAAAGCATCCAAAACCTCCCCAAAGCCGAAGCGCGCGGCGGCCCCCGCTCCCCCCCTCGCCCCGCGCGCGGCCGCTGATTGGGCGGGCGGGGTCGGCACGTGCGGGCGCCGCCGTTGCTCCTGGCGCGCGCCGCCCCCCCCCGAGGCGGTGGGTCCCTCGGCCGGTCGGGGGGTGGGATGGCGGCCGGCGCCCCCGCCTCGCCGCACCCCGGCTCCTACCGGGAGTACCTGCGGGCGCGCGTGACGGCGCGGGACCTGCGCTACCTGGAGGTCAGTGGGAGGGGGCGGCTCGCTCCCCGGGGCGCCCGGGGGCAGCGGGGTATGCTGTACCCCCGCGGCGGCACTCGGCCCTGTCCTCCGAGAGGCACCGGCCGCTGAGGGGCCGCGGAGGCAGGTCAGGCTCCCGGGGAGAGCCAGGCACGTTGTGGGCTTGCGGAGCTTCGGGTGCTCGTTAGGTGCGAGGGTCTTGTTAGAGAAACCCGCCACCCTCAGGGAACGCGCCGCCCCGCTGCCCCCCGGGCAGGGAGGTGACACGGCTCCTGCCTGCAGAGAAACCCCCGCCCGGGCTGAGGGCGGCAGCGGGGTGGCTGCGGAGCAGGGAAGGGACATGGCAGCGGTGTTTGGGGGGGCTGGGGGGCCCGAGAAGTGCAGTGGGGCCAGCCAAAACAGGGGTCTGCTCACAAGCCAGCTCCAAGTGCCGGTCTGGACCAAAACGCCTTTCGTGTGAGCGGCTGTTTGCGTTGCAGTGTTTGCTGTTTATATCCGCCCAGAGAAACAAACACCCTCCCTGTCTGGAGGTACGAGGTGAGATGAAGGCAGTGGGGCTGGCTTTGGTGTGCAGAAGCAGCTTCAAGCGAGTGCCAGCCTGGTTCTTAACCAAAACTGGGAATAAGATCTTGTCCAGTGCTTACAAAACATATTTTTTTGGCTGAGTCATGCCAAGGGATGTGTCTGGTTGAGCACGTCACATCACAGTGATATTCAAAGGGTGCTGACTGCTGAAATTTTGACCTCTAAAAATGATAGTGTACGTTGCTTGGTGGAAAACACTTTAGGGAAAGTCACAAAAGGCTTTCTGTCTTGCAGTTAGAAGGCAGGTGGTATTGATTATGAGTTTGTTCTCAGAAAGCAGCAATCAGCGTTTGGCTTCCAGAATTTAGGACTGAATCTGGCAGCTCAGGTGGGGTGGGAGTGGCAGGGGGTGTTCCTGGGGTGCTTTGGCTGTCAGGGCTTATCAGGTGCCCCAGCTTCAGCTGGAGGAAATATCTCATCCCCAGCTGTGCTGCCTCCTGCCCCAGAGCTCAACTCATCAGTGCTACTCTCCTTTAGGGATGTCATTTTAAATTGGGGAATTGTTTTCCATCTGGAGGTATAAAAAGGGGAGTGCAGGCCCTTTTCTGGGGCTTAGGTGTGATGCAGGCAGAGGAAGGTGGGTGAGAAACTGCAGGGTTTCAGCTGCTGATGTTTGTTTGCTGCTGCCCAGGCTGTGGTGACGATGCCTGAGGCAGTGGTGTCGTTAATCGCCCTAAGTACTCCAGCTCCTCTGGTGTTCCTCCATCGTGAGCCCTTGTTAGACGGGAGCAAGGCAGAGCCTACTGGTGCCTGCAGCCCCTCCTGAGGAGCAACTCCTGGCTTCCCAGCACTGCTGGTTTTGGGGGGTGTTGTGCAGACTCCCCTCTCTTGAGTTACATTCTCTGGTGGGTCCTGATGGTAGGGGAGGCAGGGGTCCAGGGGGTGTCCCTACCGTCCCAGCACTAACCAGGCTCCCTGCCTGTCCTCTCCCTGCAGAGCGAGGAGGTGGCAGAGCAGCTGGTGGCTCTGCCCCCTCAAAAATAACCCTCAAAGCATCCAAAACCTCCCCAAAGCCGAAGCGCGCGGCGGCCCCCGCTCCCCCCCTCGCCCCGCGCGCGGCCGCTGATTGGGCGGGCGGGGTCGGCACGTGCGGGCGCCGCCGTTGCTCCTGGCGCGCGCCGCCCCCCCCCGAGGCGGTGGGTCCCTCGGCCGGTCGGGGGGTGGGATGGCAGCCGGCGCCCCCGCCTCGCCGCACCCCGGCTCCTACCGGGAGTACCTGCGGGCGCGCGGGACGGCGCGGGACCTGCGCTACCTGGAGGTCAGTGGGAGGGGGCGGCTCGCTCCCCGGGGCGCCCGGGGGCAGCGGGGTATGCTGTACCCCCGCGGCGGCACTCGGCCCTGTCCTCCGAGAGGCACCGGCCGCTGAGGGGCCGCGGAGGCAGGTCAGGCTCCCGGGGAGAGCCAGGCACGTTGTGGGCTTGCGGAGCTTCGGGTGCTCGTTAGGTGCGAGGGTCTTGTTAGAGAAACCCGCCACCCTCAGGGAACGCGCCGCCCCGCTGCCCCCCGGGCAGGGAGGTGACACGGCTCCTGCCTGCAGAGAAACCCCCGCCCGGGCTGAGGGCGGCAGCGGGGTGGCTGCGGAGCAGGGAAGGGACATGGCAGCGGTGTTTGGGGGGGCTGGGGGGCCCGAGAAGTGCAGTGGGGCCAGCCAAAACAGGGGTCTGCTCACAAGCCAGCTCCAAGTGCCGGTCTGGACCAAAACGCCTTTCGTGTGAGCGGCTGTTTGCGTTGCAGTGTTTGCTGTTTATATCCGCCCAGAGAAACAAACACCCTCCCTGTCTGGAGGTACGAGGTGAGATGAAGGCAGTGGGGCTGGCTTTGGTGTGCAGAAGCAGCTTCAAGCGAGTGCCAGCCTGGTTCTTAACCAAAACTGGGAATAAGATCTTGTCCAGTGCTTACAAAACATATTTTTTTGGCTGAGTCATGCCAAGGGATGTGTCTGGTTGAGCACGTCACATCACAGTGATATTCAAAGGGTGCTGACTGCTGAAATTTTGACCTCTAAAAATGATAGTGTACATTGCTTGGTGGAAAACACTTTAGGGAAAGTCACAAAAGGCTTTCTGTCTTGCAGTTAGAAGGCAGGTGGTATTGATTATGAGTTTGCTCTCAGAAAGCAGCAATCAGCGTTTGGCTTCCAGAATTTAGGACTGAATCTGGCAGCTCAGGTGGGGTGGGAGTGGCAGGGGGTGTTCCTGGGGTGCTTTGGCTGTCAGGGCTTATCAGGTGCCCCAGCTTCAGCTGGAGGAAATATCTCATCCCCAGCTGTGCTGCCTCCTGCCCCAGAGCTCAACTCATCAGTGCTACTCTCCTTTAGGGATGTCATTTTAAATTGGGGAATTGTTTTCCATCTGGAGGTATAAAAAGGGGAGTGCAGGCCCTTTTCTGGGGCTTAGGTGTGATGCAGGCAGAGGAAGGTGGGTGAGAAACTGCAGGGTTTCAGCTGCTGATGTTTGTTTGCTGCTGCCCAGGCTGTGGTGACGATGCCTGAGGCAGTGGTGTCGTTAATCGCCCTAAGTACTCCAGCTCCTCTGGTGTTCCTCCATCGTGAGCCCTTGTTAGACGGGAGCAAGGCAGAGCCTACTGGTGCCTGCAGCCCCTCCTGAGGAGCAACTCCTGGCTTCCCAGCACTGCTGGTTTTGGGGGGTGTTGTGCAGACTCCCCTCTCTTGAGTTACATTCTCTGGTGGGTCCTGATGGTAGGGGAGGCAGGGGTCCAGGGGGTGTCCCTACCGTCCCAGCACTAACCAGGCTCCCTGCCTGTCCTCTCCCTGCAGAGCGAGGAGGTGGCAGAGCAGCTGGTGGAGCTGGGCTTCTGTGGCTCCGGGGACGTGCTGCAGCGGGAGGAGTTCGAGGCCCAGGTGGCAGCGGCGGAGGCGCTGGCAGCAGCAGCACCCCAGAAGTAAGTGTCTACCTGCCTGTCCAGGAGCCTCCGGACACCTAAATAATGAAATAATGCACTTTAATACCTGGATCATACTTTCAGAGTTGTAGCTGAGAAATTTGTGTTGTCTAATGCTTTGGACTTCTGGGATTGATGGTTACAAGACAGGGAACATACCAACAGAAAAGGGGTGTTGTAAGAGAAGGAAAAATATCCTTTCTTTGCTGATCGGTTGTTAGGCTTGAGGACTGAGTTTATTGAGCAATGTAGTCTGGAGTTCCTTTCCTGTCAACAGCAATAGTTGACCAAGCTCCTCTGGGTCCCTTGCGAGCGTTTCCCTGGGTCAGGGAGACCTGGAGCACTCTCTCATTATGTAGGGTAGCTGCAGCAAATCACACAAAAGTCTACGAGAACTAGCACTTGGGAAGAGGTATAAATGGCTCAGACTGGATGACAGTCTCTTTGGATATAGTGACAAGGTCGCTATTCTTTTAGGTGGACTATTTTACTTCCATTTCCGAAAGCCTTTGAGGGGAGAGCTGGTTTATTCTCCAGTAGTCTCTTGACAAAGGAAATTCAAGCAGTGCTTGTGCAAGGTTTTTTTTAGGCTTTTGTTTGGCTTTGTTTTGACTTCTGCTGTCTCATGCTTGTTACAGCTTGTATAGCTATAGCATGCACTTCCACCAAAACTCACGCTGCACTGGGAATTCAGTGCTTTGCAATAAAGCTTTATCGTATCTTGTGACTGGTTCCCCCTGCCTTTTTATTTTTGCACCTTCTCCACTCTGTTTAACCAGCCTGCAAATCTTAAAACATTTAGCTGTTTACTTTTTTGATTTCTTCTTTTCTTTGCCTCTTGAGAAAAATAAATGAACGATAAATGAAATAGTAAACTTTTGTTGGTGCCTTGCTACAAGAAGCTAAATAATTGCAATACTTATTTTGTCAACATGGTTGGTGAATAGTAGAACTACTGAGCAGTCTTATTCTCCTGTGGTGCTTTTCCCTTTTCGTGCCACGGTGAAATTATTGTTTAATAATTTAACAGCATGTATCAAATGCCTTTCGTAGCATTTGTGGGCTGAGAACGTGTGCCATTTAGTTAAGCTATTGTCATACTTCATGTACAATCCTATATCAAACTTCTGTTTCAGGCATAAGGTGATTTTTTTTTTTAATCTAAAGAATTAACTGTTCATGTCACTATATGGAGAAACTGATTTTGCACAACCGAAGGCTTAATTATTTGCATAAAGACAAAAAGGATTGATTTTTTTCATTCATGTTTAGACTTGTAACATTCTGTGGCTCATGCCCAGGCATACTGTGCTGCCATATGCAGCTGGTGGTGACAGTGCTGATGACATCAGGAGAGTAAGAATTGATCTTAAATGGCTGACTGGTTGATCTTGTAGTGTTCCTGTAAAGTATGTTTCTAAACCACTGATAATTTTTAATTACTCTAGTGATGTTGTGTGTGGAGATAAGTGAAAATGAACTAAAGCCAGTGGACTCAGTGCAGTTCACTCTCCGTGATGTCTTGAGTGGGTATTCCATCCTACTGTCCTTTTTTGCTTGGTTATTCTTTGTTTAGTTTCCCATTAGTTTGTAGGTGGAGATGTCAGAGCTGGCTCACTGGGCCTACGATAACTGCGTTTTGTTGAGCACATTATCCAAAAGTCTGTGTCAGGAGTTTCTGCTCTCATGGCTTCTGAATTGGCTGCTTGCAAAAATATATCTGTGGTTTTCTCTGAGCAGAAAAAACTTTCTGTGATTTGGACTTGGCTGCACAGGTCCCAGGAACTGTCACTATTAACTTTGCCCAGATGATTTTTGCATGAGAGCAAACTCCGTAGGCAGGTGCCTTCAGGATTTCTGCTTTGATGCTTCTTTCCATCCCCCACCTACTGCCCTGGCACTGCTGTTCCGTACAAAAGGGTTGACAGGGTTATTTCCCATCCACAGTCATCTCCCCCATCAAAGAAAAACAAATGGGAGTCTTTTAAGTCAAAGCTGGGATACGTGGCTGGGATTCATACAGTGAGGGGTTATTTGGAACGAAACACAGAGGAGTTACCTGGTAAGTAACTTTTTGTGTTCTCTTTGGGAAACAAACTTGCATTTAATGGTTTTGGAAATCTCTGCAAGTGGCTGATATTCATAGCAATGGGGTTCCCACAGCCAGAATGCCTATAAACACACTAAGCTGTAAGAAATGGTCTACACCATTTGTATTGCACAACAACAGCTTCAAGCTCCAGTTGCTAAAAAGTACTAAAATAAGCCAACAGTGATAATATATATAGCCTCTGTTCCATTTCAGCTCCATGGTGTGCCACTGGGTATTATACATGGCTGCTGTGTTTGCTGTAGGCTTCTATAATTCCTGTTTTATTTTTAGGGTTTGTCTGTCAGTTGTCAAAAACACTTAATTTACACAGGCTGTATTAGTTGGCAACCTTCTGCTGCCATGACTTTTACTGCTGCAACTGTATCACAGAACAATCACAGAAACCTGTAATTTATTGGAAATGTAAAGCCTTACACAAAGATTAGTAACTGGGAAGTGTCCTTTTAGCTGCAACAAAATACTTGCAAGGATAATTCCTGTGGAGTAGCAGCAAATCAGCAGGAGAGAATTCAGTAGATGATTTAGAGCAGTAGCCAAGGTGAGCACAAAGAAGGTGGTCACTCTCAGGATACTTCTCTGTTTTTGTAGTTGTTGCTTAAATGTAGTGGTCAGGGTTTGCTCAAGAACTACATGGTGGTCTTCATGTGTAGGAAGGCTCACCTTGACTAATAATTGAAAAATTAGCTCCAGAGTAGCTACATGTTACACCACATTGCAAAACTGCTTCTGATCAGAAAGGCCAATATTTTCCTGCAAATGTCCAGAACAGTGGTGTGATTTTCCTCTGAATCCTTACTTTCGCCTTCTGAATGTTTTTTGCTTAGTTAAATGACATTATCAGTTAAGGCATGTACTTGGTAGGATTGGTAGGACTTCTTTTACAAATGGTAAAAATAAGTTGAGTACATGTTGCAAAAAATGGATTTGGGTGGGCAGGAGGCAGTGCATTTATTAACTCTCTTTGTGAAGCACTTAAACTTTTCTGGTCTTAGCATCGCATCTGAAGTCAAGTGAAAATTGATAGGGGAAAGTAAGTAGAAGTAAGACTAGTTCCTTTAAAATACTTTGTGCTTTTCCACAAAAAGGGACACCGTCAGAGGGTTAGGTTTGGGCTTTTTTTTTTGGTCAGAACAAAGAAACTGGATAATAAAAAACAGTGAACTTCAGACTTTGAGAGGCAGATAGAAGTACAATGTGCCATCTGTTCTTTATGACAAGGATGTATGTGTGTTTCTTTGGGATCTGAAATGAAGGGGCTTGAGTCCAGGGTTGTTTTTTATTTTCTTTAACAGAAGCAAATTGGAAATCAAGTTATTTTTGGTTTTTTGGTATTAGGTCATCTCTAAATGAGTGCAGGATTGTTTAGTCTTTCTTTTGTCCAGAGTGACAGAGATGGAAGAATCTCGCGTTCCTCGAAAGTGTCCTGTAACTGGCATAGTATTGATGTTTAAGAAGAACCATGATTTTTTTATCTCAGCTTGCACAGAATAAATAAAATCCTGGTTGACATCAGGACAGGAAACAATTTACTGTCAGTTGTCTCAGCTGGAAGTACAATATTGCCGTATGATGCTTTAAGCTCCTCTTTTAGAACAACCCGAGACAAAAGGTTTGTAACTGCCTCTGTATTTCAAAGCCTGGATCTGGGCTGTGTAGATTTCCTGACATCTTCATGGCACCCGTGCCCACGTTTTACTGTTCGATTACTGTGGCCTCTGCTTGTCAGGGAGCTACGCTGTGTTCACGTGGACGTGAAGTCACCTCTGAATGGCACGTGAGTGTTCCCTACCCCAAGAATTAGCCCTGAGCAACACCACTAAGGCTGTAAATCACTTCCATTTCTCCTTCTGCTGTTGTGATGCCCACGCTGGACAGTTGTCTCAGCCCGGTTGCTGTAGCTGTGGGCTGTCTCTGTGCAGGGAATGAGCAGGGCCTACAGGCAGAGCAGCGTGTCCGCAGTGGGAGGGATGCAGGGCTCGGTGCAGTACCTGCTGCCTCCAGCAGAGGCCTCCCTCCGCTTAAGATTGGCAGCCCTTGCGGTCTCGGTCTGACTGCTCACTGGGAGGAGCAGACTGTGATAAGGGGGGGAAACCCACCCCAAACAAAAGACCTGGAACCCTCCATTAAGGCTTTCCCCTGGAGGAAGGGCTGCTACTTCCACGCAGAGTGTCGGGGCTGTGTCACTCAGGCAGGGGTTAGAAATGCTGCGGAGCTGCCTCTATGCAGGGATATTTACAGCTGTGTCCTGGGAAATGCAGAAATGTCCAGCTACAAGCTGCTCTGGAATGGAGTGATGAATATTTATCCTCTGAAATTGGTCCATTTCATGTGTAAAATAGCCATTGGTTTGGTTTTTTTTTTTTGGCCTAGGAGGAGCACGAGAGTGAGGAGTTAGCCTGTCAGCCAGGACGCGTGCCTGAGAAGGGGAGGGTATGCAGCACCACTCATTTCTGGGGCTTAAAGCCACCAGCGCTGGCATTTGGAGCAGTGACAGGAACCCAGTAATAATTCTTCTGTGCAAACAGACCAGTTAGTCTCACCTCTGTCCCTGGGAAGGTGATGGAGAGACTCATACTAGATGTCATCTCCAAACAAGTTGAAGAGTGGGGGGTTATTGGAAGTGGGCAACACGGGTTTACCAAGGGTAAATCATGTATGACCAATCTGATAGCCTTCTATGATGCCATCACGCTGGACAGTTGTCTCAGCCCGGTTGCTGTAGCTGTGGGCTGTCTCTGTGCAGGGAATGAGCAGGGCCTACAGGCAGAGCAGCGTGTCCGCAGTGGGAGGGATGCAGGGCTCGGTGCAGTACCTGCTGCCTCCAGCAGAGGCCTCCCTCCGCTTAAGATTGGCAGCCCTTGCGGTCTCGGTCTGACTGCTCACTGGG